GCATAACATAAAAGCTCTCTTCCCATGGGTATGAATTGCTTTCCAGGCTACTAAAAGCCTTCTGTGTTTTCAAAGACATGACAGCAAAGAGGTGTCCACTAGGTCCTCCCCACCCCCACGATTGGTGTGACACACTACAGCTAGCAAACTCTGCCACTTGTCAGCAGTAAAATGACCCTGGACAAAGCTCACCACTGATGGGTCAGGACTGATGTTCTACTCTGGAAGCAAGAATGTCTCTCAGCATCATTTGATGACTTTTACCCTCAAACTACCAGTTTCAGCAAACTGATGTCACAACTTGCCACAAAACAGATAGCAACTGAACAGTGCGCCGTATGAACGTTCCCACAATTCTTCACCAGTGTGTCAGCGTTGTGACAAAAGTGGAAATTAGCCATTGACCTCACTCTAATTCATCCATGATATAGTTTTGAAAATTCTCAGGAAAGATGTCTACTGGAATCAATCCTGAAATCTCTTTTATTGTTGTAAAATGGATTTATTAGAAGAGGAATGAAGTCGTGGAATGTGTGCTTTGAATCCTGTTGCTGATTTAGTTTTATGATACGGGGTAAAAAGACGCTTGTGTTAATTCACCTGGGATACTCTTTTTCTTATTAAAAGTCTATAGGAAAAGAAATGGCTTTTAGCATTTAGCTAGATTATAGACAACTATCCAAGCATACAAGTTTAAAGTATCTATCTTATGCATTATATTATTCATTTGTAGGTTTTTACGTAATAGAGATATTATCGAAGAGATATGTGAATCGATTTAAACGAGATATCCCTGATTAGAAATTATTATGAAGTTCACTTTTGTGGTGGTTCTTCACTTTTCAAAAAGCTAGTGGCAAACATGCCCAATCATCAGAGATCACAAGGTGTACCCCACTGGGAGAGCGCTTCTTCCTCTTCCTCTTCCTGCCTCATAATTATGAAACTCTGTGCTTCCTTCTCATTGCTCTTTCTGCACTCTCCACTTACCTTTATTACAGTACTTGCAATTCTGCATAATAATTACGTATTTACATGTCTATCATGTCTACTAAATTGTGCATGCCGTGAGAGCTCGGCGATGTCTTAATCATACTTATAATTCTGGGTGAGCAGAACAGGCACTCAATAAGTAATGAATGCTTCAGAAGGCATTCCTATTTCTCCTTAGAAAATTGTGAACATTGGAAATTGCCATGTTCTCAAGGAAGGCAAGATTCTCTTCTGGCCGTCACTGTGCTTGAAACAATCAGCACCACGTTTACCACACAGTACTGCTACAATTCCTGTCTTCCATCCATTCCAGATTCGTCAGCTTGTTACATTTCTAATGAAAGAAATTGATATTTATGTCAATAAAATATTAGAAATTAAGGGAGGGACTACTGGTATCCCACAGGTCTGCCTTGGGAGAAAAGTGAATAAGATGAATATAAGAGATTATATGATCTACACTTTAAGGTTTTTGGCTATTAAAAAGTTGCAAGAAGTAAAACTGTACCTCAGCCTTGGCCTCTGCCTTCCTTCCTTGCACTTGTAGCCATGTGGTGCTGAGGGAAAAGAAAGCATGGGCCCTGCAGCACCTTGTGTGCCTGCTGAGCCTCCATCAGAAGGAAGCTGCCCAGGTGCAGAGAAATGCATTGCAGAGTCAAAACAGAATGACAAAGGACTGAAAATTCATAGATAATTGATGGTTTGCTTCTCCTGTCCTGGTTTTCTGAATGTTCCTACTTGCTTAAGGGGCAATAATCAAGCTGAAAAATTAACGAACTGAAAAGCCAGTATTTTAAAGCAGCATTTAGCAAGACAAGTCAGTACACTGCCTGTAGCTACTTCTTTAAAGATAAAACTGTAATGTGTGCTTATTAATGTGAAGTGATGGAAGTTCATTGTGTACTTTGCTATTGTTGAAACTGATGGTAGTTTGTAACTGCCCTTGATCACACAGTGTCAGAAGGTGCTTTCTAAGCTAGTGAAAAAAGACTAGTGTTCAAAGACTTGACATTGCATCTATTGCTTATATAATAAAAAGATTCCTTTTTAGAAAAAGATGAATAAAATGTCAATAAACTTTCTTTATCTATTTATTACATCCCTTATTTTTGAGATTACTGCAAACCTTCTCATATACCCATCCTTGCTCTCTTTCCAATCCATGGCCTCTCTTTTCAATAACTGTTATTTCATGCACAGATTCCTAAACTCAACCTACTCAATCTGTACAATGTTATGCAGCTGTATGTTTTCAGGGCTGACCATTTGGTACTGGACAACCAACTGGCGAGCTCTTCCTTGGGTGCTGTTTCTACCACTCTGTATTCCTCGGTTGCCTGTGGTTTTTAAAACAAACTTTCTTTTCTCTTCTTTGCAAAATTCTAGAGATAAATAGACTAGAATTAAGACTCATTGCTGACTGCTTTTTCTACCCACAATCCTAAATAAAATGACTGAGCTAAGCTTGATGAATTGTTTTTCATCTGCAAGTAATGCCACAATAGGCATTATATGAGATATAAAAACATATTAGAGAGTTTAGCACTAACATTGATAAAATTACAATGCTTCTACTTTCAAAAGACACACAGGATCCCGTCACCTTTTAGCACCTGGATTGTGGGACTGGCTCCTGCTGGTCTCTCTAGCACTCTCATTGGCCTCTACCTTATTCTTCAGATAGCATCAGCTCATATCATTTAGCAACTCAAATTCCTTCACAGCAACTTCTCCCGTAAGAGTAAGAGCTGTGTTTTTCATGGCTGTTTTCTTTATCGCTGCCTATCACCTAGCACACACATTCCCATCTAACCCCGTCATCTGGCTTCCTGGGTAGTGCCTGCAAGGCGGGCACAGCCACTTCTCCAGCCCTTTCAGTCTTGGTTCCTCCAGGCAGAGCCCAGCTCCCTCTTTTACCTCATCTCTGCATCATTTTTCCAGCCAGACATGTTCTCCCATCCCTTGAATATTCTGTGCACGCAAGCACTCTACATTACACTCACCTGAAACAAGCTGGAATGGAGTCATCTTCTTCAATGCAAAATCCATGAGGACAGGAATGATTTCAGTTGTTCTGCACATTACTAGTTTTCTAGCAGATACAATACTGATCATGATAGAGCAAGGAAGGTTTGTCAACTATAGGAATCTGTAATCTAAATTACTTCATTTTTCCTGTGTTTGTTATCTGCTGATAACTAAGATGTGGCATTATTATTAGAAAAATTCTTGCCTAAAGGTTTACATATAAATATTTTCCAAAAGCTATTTGTGACTTCCTTTGTATGCTGGTATCAGAATTTTATGAAATAAAATTAAGTTACTAAAGTGACAAGTGAAACACATTACAATGTGTTTTAATGAACAAAATATTTCCAGCACTGTCTTTTACAGTGTGCAACAGTTGGAAATGAGAGTGGAGAGGGTCAGAGCCAGATTCCATAAAACTGGGCAGGGAGGAGCAAAGCATGTAGTAAAGTTTTCACCAGACATTAAAGAAGACCAGTTCTTCATTCTTTGCTGAAAGCAATCGTCAAAACCCAAAACTGAGGAAACCACCATCATGTCACATTTGCAATTATGTTGGGTTATATGAGACTATGGAATTAACACACACACTTAATCTTTTTCAATATGAAATTAATAAGCTAAAGGTGAGTTAAAGCTTGTACCTCTCATTAAAGTATCATCCTATGAAAAATAAATATATTCCTGTATGGGAATACACAGCTTCTCTGTCACTGATAGCTAATAAATTCTTTCCCATTAAAAATTAATTGGAAACCTTGAATGATATTTAAGCTTTCACACAAGTGTAAACTACTGTGGCTACAGTTCACAATGCGTTTAAAACAATTGTTCTTTATCATTAAAGTTAATAATATGCACATTAACCTCTTATGTAGTCTAAATCAATATTGTAGTTTAAAAGATATGACCTCTGGACAGCTTTGTCTAAATATTGATTCATTGTCATTTGTATAAGGTATCAAACAAATTACATGCTGAATCAAGAGCATTCATTGCTGTTCTCACAGTCTCTGACTTCATGACTTCTTATAAGACAAGACATGATCTGACAAAACCATTGAGAGCACTCCCACGTGTAACTGTGGGTCATTCGAGTGCAGAGCAGCATGGCTGTGGATGGAGAACGTCCAGGCCCTTTCTTTCCAGGGACATCGGGAAAGCAATGCCACTCTTGACTTCCTGTTGATGTTAGGTTCCAAGCAGCAGACGTATCCAGTCTCGCGGGCAAACTCACTTTCTAGGAAACCCGTGGATATTTCAGGGGAAAGCCACTCAGCCAGAGTCAGACTGAAGTGCTGTCACTTGGCAATATAGCCATTTTGCTCACAATAAACTTATTTGGAAGTCCCTGTGATGAGTCCCTAGTAAATCAGATAAGTTATGAAGTTAAAGTGACTGAATAGTTAGAACATTCATGATGGGACCAACGAATGCATACAGTGCAGGCACACCACACTTTCTCATAGCAGCTATATCATGGCCGGCTCTGTGATCACCTCTTCCTGAGGGGAGCAGCCTTAGCAGGCCACAGAAGACAATGCAGCCACTCCTGGTGAGACCTGATAGGCTAGGATCAGAGGGAAGGGGAGGAGGATCTCCCCTATCAGTGGACTGGGAGAGGGACACGGGTGGGGAAGAGGGAGGGTAGGATTGGGAGGGGAGGGAGGAGGGAGGTACAGGGGGGGATACAGAGTGAATAAACTGTAATTAATAAATATAAAAATAATTTTAAAAAATTACTGAAGATCAAAAGTCAAGCATTTAGTCTCAAGTTCTAGATCTCTGTAAATCATAGCAATTGCTAATATCCAGTTACACCTGTTTTGATGGGATTAGTTTTTTAACTTGTAAGCTTTTTCACTTGTTGTTTATTATAAAACTTTTTGGGGAGGATCGGGGTCACAAAGGACACGATCACGATAACATCAATGCAGGGGCTTTATACGCTAAAAGCATCCACCCCAAATCTCTCATAGGTAAAAGCGACCCATTCTGTGTGGTGGAACTGAACAACGATAGGCTGCTCACACACACTGTCTACAAAAACCTCAATCCTGACTGGAACAAAGTGTTCACATTGTAAGTAACCACCACTCTGTGCTGGCTTAAGAGTGAGAGTGTGAATGCAGTTTACCCGAGACGTGTGTGTGCGTGTGTGCGTGTGCGTGCGTGCGTGCGTGTGTGCGTGTGTGTGTGTGTGTGTGCGTGCGTGTGTGCGTGTGTGCGTGCGTGTGTGCGTGCGCGTGTGCGTGTGTGTGTGTGCGTGTGCGTGTGTGCGTGCGTGTGTGCGTGTGTGTGTGTGTGTGTGTGCGTGCGTGTGTGCGTGCGTGCGTGCGTGTGCGTGGGTGTGTGCGTGTGCGTGTGCGTGTGCGTGCGTGCGTGCGTGCGTGCGTGCGTGTGTGTGTGTGTGTGTGTGTGTGTGCTCCCTGGTTCACAATTCAGCACATCTGCCTGCCTTTGCTAATTATAGATTTTCAAACCTCCCACCTTCTGGAGAATGAAACTTGGGAGAGTGGGTATGTCCCTTTTCTTTGTTTTCACTACTTTTTTTCTCCTGTGCTTTTTATGTGGCCTGACTAAGGGTTTTGCTCCCGTCCCTGAATCTGCATACTGCTTCTTCCTTTTATATTTGCTATTGAAATTCTTCCCAATTGCATTGACACCAAGAAGGACAAAGCTCTATTTGTTCCATCACTGAAATCAGCAAACACTCCAGTCGGGAATTTGACAGATGCTCAGTTTGGGCTTGTTTCATTTTAGCACAATAAGGACATTAAGCATTGTGCTAGCTCTCAAAACAACCCCTGAGTTAATTTTCCTTTTGTTTTAAAAAGTTTGTGAATCTTTTCCCCTGTGCACTGTATATGTTGTTTGCATGATGCACCATAGCAGCCTCTGTGTCCCTTTTTTAAAATTGAGCTGCAGAGAAGGGTTTCCACAAAGAAAAACTCCAAGCAGAAGTACTTAACAGATTTCCAACATGGTTTTATTTCTTGTACATGAAAAACCGCTAAATTCCTCATTAGTTCCTTATAATGTCTCTGCTTAAGAGCCAGTAACTAATCAGCTTCAATTATCTGACCAATTTATTTTTAAGGAATTCCACATTTTTCTGAGAGACGAAAGCACAGTCAGGAGGCTTGCATGCCTAAGAGGACTGTGGAGAGTGTTTTCTCTAGAGCACATAATTGAATGAATAGGTTTGATTATTATCAAAGCGATTAATTGATTGTTCCCTGACAAAGCCTCTTTTTCATGTGCGGTTGTGGTGTTTAGTAATGAATATATTCTTTTTTGTTTTCTCTTAATTCATATTTTCTTGGAAAACGATTTGATTAAAATATAAATGCTGCCAACCATTGACACTTATTTTTCTTGAAACAGAAATATGAAGAACCCACACAGTTTTTACTATCATATATTTTCTTTGAAGCTTACTGGAATATTAAATAATTTCAAAATTCAAGGATAGTACTATACTTATCAATGCTACATTTTCTGTTTTTCTGCGATTGCTACAAACCTAATACAAATTTAACAAGTGTGTCAGTGAGAACTTTAAAAATATGTATGTTATTTTATTATAAAAATAATAACAGTTCATAAACCTATTGTAACTTGTACTGATAGCGAACCTTGTGAAATTCTATGTCAGAGTTATGAGATTTATGATTTATTGTTATAATGAGAAGAGCAGAAAAGCCTAAAGATTGCTGGGGATACTTAGTGATTTTTTTTCCAGTAATTTATCCTTTGCATATCCAGATCAAAAATGATAAGTCATTAAAAATATAACTGAAAGTTAAAATGTGACCCTTGGTGCTGTCATCTTAACTGCGTTATTGGGAATTCTGTCAGCTTTTACTCTGTCTGTATGCAAATAATACACATGAAAATACAGATACAAAAACCAGCTGGTACTATCTGAAATTTCAAAACGGTCTAGCTTTGCTTCACACTAATGGAATCTTCCTTTTTTTCCATGGGTATGTTCATTGTGCAGCAACATTAAAGATATCCATTCCGTTCTTGAAGTGACAGTTTATGATGAAGATCGTGACCGGAGCGCCGACTTTCTGGGCAGGGTCGCTATACCGTTGCTGTCTGTAAGTTTTATTCACCTGGTACACTCTTCTGTGTTGCTTTTGCTCAAGGAAGGAAAAAAAAAAAAAAAAACTCAGCCCCATGTCTGTCATTTCTCAGCAAGGTCTGTAATAACACTAAAATTTTTAACATACTCAATGCACGGCCATGTTGAATCCCATGATAGTTAATTTTTCTTGACAGACTTGATCCTGGTAATGAACAGGTACTTGTCAGAATTGCCACAGTTGTTTTGGGTTCTCTGTCAGTTTCAGCAGCTGGGGGTCAAAGGTCACTGGGGGAGTGTATTCAGTGGAGACCGCGAGACAGACGGCTGTCATGTCCTTTTCCCGCAGATTCAAAATGGTGAACAGAAAGCCTACGTCTTGAAAAACAAGCAGCTGACAGGGCCAACAAAGGGGGTCATCTATCTTGAAATAGATGTGATTTTTAATGCTGTAAGTCTTAACTTTGGCTTTTTTGTACTGCTAAAGAGTTCAGTTTCATGAAAGCTTTTGTTCCTGATTTGTAGAGAATTTCTGTCATTCCTCATTTTCTCTAAACCTTGATGTATCCCGGAGAATATGCTTCTGGCCCTGCTTGGCACACCCACGCTTGCTTTCCGCCAGAGTGGGGCTGCTGCTGCTGCTGCCTCTGCCTCTGCCTCTGCCGCTGCCGGCCGCCCGGGCTCCGCGGCTGCCTGCTCGCCTGGCTGCTGAGGGGCACGCGCATGCAAACGCAACTGTACACATTTATATTTTATGAGCACAGCAGCCAGGCCTTTGAAACTTTAGAAATTACTGCAAATTGAACTGCGTGCAAAAAACTTGTAAACAGTTGTAATATATGAACCCATAACAGACACATGTGTTGATGTATATATAGGTGAAAGCCAGCTTACGAACATTAGTACCCAAAGAACAGAAGTACATTGAAGAGGAGAACAGACTCTCTAAACAGGTAAAAAGCAAAGAAAGATTAATCCCTCTGGGAAGAACTGATTGTATCTGTAAAGCATCTAAGTAGATTCAAATAAACCTTGGAAGTCTGGAGGGGGGAAGTCTGTGGAAATTTTGATCACCTACATACTGAAATGGCTTTCTTTCTTTCTTCCTTTCTTCCATTCTTTCTTTCTTTCTTTCTTTCTCTCTCTCTCTCTCTCTCTCTCTCTCTCTCTTTCTTTCCTTCTCTTCCTTTCTTAACAAGATCAAGCAAGGTCGAAACCACACTAACACCTTGAACGGAGGTGGTGAGAAAGGAGAAGGGCCGCTGTAGGTCCAGCATCTGATGGCGTGGGCGACCACCCACAGGTGTGCTGCAGGTGTTCAGAGAGTAAAGCCCTCCCTCTAATCCAGCGAGGGACCATCCTTTAATTAGATTTTAACAATGGACAGTCAGAAGAAGTTTCACTGACATCTTCTACTAAGAGAAAAACCAGGAACTCTGATACTTCTTTTATGAATCTGTTATAAATTACCCTTTGTATTTATAAATAGTAACTTTAAATTTACTTTAATATCAACTTAAGAAAAAGTGATACCTATCCTTTTTTAAAAAAATGTTTAATACAGTTTACAAAACTAAAATGAAATATGTTCATTATGGCTATAAAGCTACTGAGCTGACTTCTACTGTGAAATGTTTGAGAATTTTCTGTGTAATGAGAAACTTTAAAATGTTTTTTTATTTTTAATCTAATAAATTCACCATAAAACAGTGAAAATTTTGGTGTTAAGCAATGTGTGTTACAAATTAAATACCTATGGAAATAGATAACCATATTATATTTCTCTATAATTATAGATAAAAATAATAAAATTTGTTCTTTAAGAAAAGTGCTAGGAACCAAGAAGAAAAACACACAGAAAGGGTCTCTGCCTGAACAAATTTTCAGATTTAGAAATGTGTATAACTGCCTTGCACATACATACATGTATTTTTATACTAATGTATTTTGCCATTTGAACTCAGTTAATTTTACATAGCTGTTTCTTTAAAATACCAGATACTGAAGTGCATTTAGAATAGCAATATATTAACTTGCAGGCATATGATTATTTTAATTGTGTTTCTGTATGTAAATTTTTAAACCATTATCTAGTTCATAGGCATTCTTTTTGCTGTTGAATTCATGCTATTGTTTTTTTATTTTAAATTTAAATTGTATCAGTTATCATGCATACTTTTTCTAATAAGAGGTTTTTCAACATACTTGATTACTATAAACATTTTCTAACTCTAAAATCATAAAAAAAAATAATGAAAAAATACAGGGTGTATTTAATGTGTAGGGAGGTGTGAGTCTAAGACAGGATCAATCCTACCAAATGATGAAAGTGTTTGAAACCGTGGTGCTTCCTATAATAAGCAACATTAAGCAGGTTCTTCTCTGAGATTCAAATCAAAACATTCTAAGGTAGCGAACTCACATTGAAACATCTTGAAATTAAACATTTAACTTACCTTAAAACAAAGGAGATCAAAATTAATACAGATTCACAATTTTGTAAATAGATTTTTTTCTAATGAGCAAACATGCCACCTTATATGCAAACATTATTTTTAAATACATATTTAGCTACAAAAATATTCGTCCCGTCTAGTTCTTTCTACTCTTTCTATTACAACTCCCTCTCCTCTAACTAGTAAGACAAGCAGCGTGGTGTGCCTCTGTGACCTTATGCTTTTCTGGATCCTTGCTAAATCACCGGTTGCTTGAAGAACTATCAGAAAACACTTGATTGTTTTCTGTCTTGTAAATTCTAATACTGTTTTTTCATTGTCTTTACAGTTGCTTCTGAGAAACTTTATCAGAACGAAGCGTTGTGTCATGGTGCTTGTAAACGCGGCGTACTACGTTAATAGTTGCTTTGACTGGGACTCGCCCCCACGGAGTCTTGCTGCTTTTGTGGTATGATCATACTGTATTACTCGTCCATTGTTATTCACCACATTCAGTGGTCTTAGCTCCACGTCTCTGTGGCTATAGTAACAGTTATGTTGATAGAGCCATTTAAAAACTCCTATTTTGAGATTTGACTGGACAGATTTGCTGTGGGCAGGAACCTGATGGATTGCTCAAGGTCTGAATCCAAGAATGTATTCCTCAGATTTCCGGAACACAAGACATCTCAGCCAAAGTATAATTTTCTCTGACACTTATAAAGTAAAATTTTGCATATTGTACAATTCTAGATCCCAATAGGAAAGCCAAAAAAAAAAAAAAAAGTTCTCTGTGTAAAACAACGACAGTGGTAACAGCCTCGGTCATCCTCGTTTTGATTTTATTCATTCTGTAAGTATTTTGTCAAAATAGAAATATCACTGACAGTAGAATGCTGGTTGACAAGACTGTAATATGTGACTCAAGCAGAGAGGGATGTGACCTATTTAAGAGATGTTTCTGTGGTTTCTAGTTTTTAAAAAGTCACAAGTGAGAATGTAATCGACCCAAATATTCTCCTCACAAGGTTCATCCTGTACCCTTTTACACTGATTATTTCAGACCTGATGGTAGGCCAACTGGCAGGGGCAGAAAAATCTAAAAAAGGTTCTTCCTCTCCGTGTAGCCAGGAGCCTCTCCACTCAGGCTATTTCTGCTTGTTCAGTGTTTTACTTGAAGTTTCTGTGAAGTCCAGCTTTCTGAAATTCTTTATTTTGTGTGTGTTAGGAAATGCACCTTATGCTTCCTTGTAGTTGCCAGTTTTGCAAAATACGACATTATTATGAGGGCTTGCAGAAAGGCCTTAATTAGAGTAACAATCAACTTTTTTAGTGTTGCCATTCAAATGAATGTATGCTTTCAGATCTTAGAGCTTAGATCTTCCTCACTGCCTCTGTATGGAACTTTTCTAATGTCTGAGCACATGAACAAAGCCTGCATATGTCTCTTTGTGTTGTAAGTAACTGGAGAGTAAGCAGCCTTCTTGCCATAGACGCGTTGTCCCCTTAAAGAAAGTGACCGCTGTCATCATTGTTTGAAAAAAAATATTTTTTTCTCTCTATACTCTTTTAACGCCTCTCACATAATAAATATATTGGGGGTATTCTGATTTTTTATTAACATAGAGGCATTATGATATTAAGCATATACTTTACATCATTACTTTCAGGTTCTATGTGGCCTTATAATAACAATAAAACTCTACTGAAAATGTCTGCTGCCATTTTTGATTGACCGTCCTTAACTCCATTCTCCATAGCTGTAAGTGAAATTTGAAAACATAAAAATGTATGTAATCACATCAAGGCATTATTCAAGAACATTCATTATGGGTTATTTGGCCTTACAGCATGTTCAATGAAACTGCAAAAACTTCTTCCTGCTTCCAAAGGTCATTCGTAAAATTAATTCAAGATGGCCGACCTTTTTCACAATCTTCTTCTGATTCTGGAAAAAAAAAAAAAAAAAAATATATATATATATATATATATATGCACTGAAACTGAGAGACATAGGTACCTGCATGTAAGCTGTCTTACAGTGACCTCACTGGAAGGAAGAAAAGCACAGTGCCTGCCTTAGCCAGTAGCCAGCTGTAATAGCATTCGTCCTAGAAAACACAAGCCAAATGCAAGAGCTTTGCCCAAAAAGACAGTGGGATAAGAAAGAGAAAGGTAGGAGACAGGACTGAAGCCAGGGATGAAACAAGAGAGCACGTGACAAAATGTGAAGAAACAATATTAACCATTTCATTGGAAAAAAGAAAAAGTTATTGCACTTTATTGAATGTGATTGAAGTAGTGAATCACAAAGCCCACCTTCCTTTGCTTAGACTCCAAATGGGCCTCCACAGTCCCAAGAACTCGGCGCCTTCATGGTGTTCTACCATCCCGTGAAGACTACCTAGTGGTTAGTGGGCTTCCAGCATAAAAGTCCAACCAAATCTTTTCAATGAGGCTGCCAGTCTAAAATGTTTTCTTGTAGGGAGAAACTCCAAATAAATAATGGTTAGGTTGTTAAATCCTGATAATAACTTGTTAATACTATCAAAGCAATTTTCCCTATAATTTTTATATGAAACTAAAACTCTGTTGTAATCTCTTATCAATAATCTACTTAATTGTTGATTGAATTCTTATATAAAAGGATTAATACAAACAAGAATTAATATTTATCAGGTGCTCTATGTGCCAAGGAATTATTGTTCATATATAAATATCTAAGAATACTCTTGCACTAGAGAATTTTATATTTTCTTTTTGCATTTTGTATCAATGATTATTATTTATTACAATTTATTCACTTTGTATCCCGGCTGTGGGCCGCTCCCTTGCCTTCTCTCAATTTCAACCTTCCTCCCTCTTTTTCCTCTATGCCCTCCCCTAGTCCACTGATAGGGGAGGTCCTCCTCCTCTTCCATCTGACCCTAGCCTCTCAGGTCTCATCAGGACTGGCGGCATTGTCTTCCTCTGTGGCCTGGCAAGGCTGCTCCCCGCAGGGGGAGGTGATGAAAGAATTTAGTATTTCAACAACATCATACTGTAGCTTCTATTATTTTCCCAGCTATAGATGAAGAAAATAAGGTACATAAAAGTACCTTGCCTTATACCACACACTAGATATTCTTTTCTATAGAAGCCTTTGAGATGTACACCTTATAATCACATTATAATTCAGAAAAGAAAACCTCTGTGAAATTTTTTGCCTATCATACAGAGAGTAAATCAGGTATCTAAAATCAAAATGTTTCTAAGTTGTCATTGCATAAGTTGGCCTTATTAGGACAATTTGATGAAAAGAACTGATTTCCTTTAGATGAACATAAGCAGTACCCATTGTTATAAACATATTGTTCCCATCATGCCCTGTTGACAGAGCATGAGTCTATTATTATAATATTGGTTCCATTTGGCCCATTTTTCCCCTAGCTGCAGCTGCCTCATGGAGGACATGCATTTGAACCATTATGTGGCTTAGTTTTAGGCCCAGATCAGTAAGTTTTTTAATGTTTAAATGATTTTTTCCTATTCCATGTTGGTTTTCTCTTCTAATTTAATTCTCTAAATAAAATAAATAAATGTAGAATAGTGGGTCAAAATGGAAGAAAACAATCATATTTTGCATTTCAGTGTCAAAAATATGGACAGCAACCACACTTCCCAGCACAACCGGGGTTGTGTTGCTGGGATTTCAGGAAATAGAGATGAAATCATTGGGGAAGGAAATGGCAAAAGGAAAGTAAACAGGCTCTGGGAACAGCCTTGTCTCTGAGCACTATGGGTTAGCTTTGTAATTTTTTGATGAATATTATCTTCCTAGGAGAGCTCTGTTGCATATGGTGTAGAAGGCACCGCTTGTCCTGAGGAGTCAGCTATTGTAGACCTGGAAATCTCTCATAAATTGGACTAATTGTCATCAGGCTCTTGACCAGACATTTGTGTTCTTGTGGAAGTCAGTGAGTGCAAAATGGAAACAGAGAGAGAGAGAGCACATTCTTTATTTTTAGTACTGTCATTTCTCACTGTAATGAGCACAAAAATAATTGGAAAACTGAGCTATCAGTAAAAGGACACACTTCAGTGTGCGTCAGAGAGTTATTCTGCAGGACAAACTTTAATCTTTAGATGTGATTGTAGATAATTTGTGGTGCCATCTGTCCATTTGGAATTGTTTTAGCCTTTTCTGTCGTTGTACAGTAAGTGCTGCTGTGTTTAACATTAACATTTGATATTTTACACATTTAATTTCTGTTCTGCTGTGTGGTCCTTGGGGAATGAAACCCTGGTGCTACATGAGAGAGACAAAGTATTGATCAGTTAACATTTCAGCTACATTTATGTATGTCGCAAAATTAATGAAAATGCCAGACAAAAATGTCAGAGTGCACAAAAGGTAGAATTTAAATTTGATACTTTAATGAAAAGTCTTAAGATGTGCATTATCAAAAATGTCCTCCTGCCTTTAAAGTACAATTTCACACAGAATAACTAACAGGAAACACATATTTTACTTAGAGGAAGAACGAACATGAATAATGACAAGATATCAGCTCCTCATGGCACCTTGTATTACAAATGGCATGTTTGAATGCATAGCTGTTAGCCATAAAATACACTCGTTCCTATTTGAGGAGCTGTTGGCTCCAACCCTCTATTCTGGCCAACCCCTGGCGGGCTTCCTAGTAAGATGCTGGCCCTAGTTTTGCACCCCTCTCTTTGGCATCCCCTCATGAGTGTGTGGTGTGTGTGTGTGTGTGTGTGTGTGTGTGTGTGTGTGTGTGTAAATAGTAATTCATTATAGCTACTGGTCCATGATCTATCCTTTCTCCACATTTTTCAATATCTGCTCTCCTTTGCTTCAAGACAATCGTGTCCTATCTTCCCTCAAGCCACACTTTTGTAAAGGACTGTTGTAGGACCACATTCTCTCTCAGAAAAGCTGGGTCACTGTGGAGGTAGAGAAAACAAACAGGCCTTATACATGCATAGAGTGATGTGCAGGAGGTATGTAAAAGCAAATGTTAAAAAGTTTAATGTAGCAAATGAAGAAACCACAGGACAAAGAAGAGGGCATGACCTTGAGCGGGTGATAGGAATGAAGAGCAGTCAGCATGATTCGCTATGTGTCTTCTGTAGAGGGAGCCTGGTGCTATTAAACAAGCTAGGGAGTTTTCTAACAATTAGCACAAGCCATAAAGGCACTGGAAGTGGCCTTCATTATTAGGGACTAAAAAGGCCACATTACTCAAGGGGAAATGCCAACGTGAAAATACAGGCATCTCTGCATAACTTGAGGTCCAAGTCTTAGCGTACATAGAAGATGCAGGATCATTATGCTAGATCTAGTGAAAAGCACTTTACACTTACAGCAGATTTGGGGAATTTAACAGATACCAGTAATATGGCATCAACAAAGTTATGGCAATTTTCAAATTATTTTTATAGGAGCATTTTTGTTGTTGCAATTAA